CTTCATCTGTCAACCCTGGTCATATCGCTGAGTGGAGGTACACCCACACCCCCAACCCCACCAAGTGGTGGCGACGTCACCTGAAAAAACACCTGAAATCTCTCGGGGAAGCCCTGGCTAAACTCGCCAGTAAAGCCGTCGAAGTGCTTTCGGTAATCTTCGGTAGCATCGACTCGTGGCTGATGAGCACGCTGGCTAAAACTGTCACATGGCTCAGGCAAAACCTGTGGGCAGCCATCGTTGCCGTGGCCGGGCTGCTGTACGTCTCGGCTGAGGCATTTTTTAACCAAATGAGAATCAAACTGACCGTGATGCCCCCGGCCACCAGCGTTGTTTTATGGCTGATATGCTGTTGATTTTCAGCCACCCGGTGTGGTGGCAGGGGCTGTGGCTGTGCGGGCCGAACCCTGGGCTCCGGGGGTGGTACGACTATGCCCGTTTCATGGGTCGTGGGAGGTGGGACGTGACTCGCTTTGATACCAACATTGACACCCAACTTCTGGTCGGCCGTGGCTATGACTATTTCGTTGCTGTAGCCCACTGCCTTGTTGACTCTCAGTTGCATGTCGCTCGGGGCAGTCCCACGTCAAACACATAGTCGACTTTAGGCGGGGGCGTATTCCAATACGTTTTGGTAGCATTGGATGGCACTTGGCAGGTCGACCGGGGCGGCGATGGCATCCTCGACGTTTGCAATGAACTGTTTCTGAGCTTCGTAAGCAGTCCCCTTACTGAGGATGTTGGAACGCGTTTGCGTCTTCGCACCTAACAGCGCCCACACGTACGTTCGAATCGAGTCGTGCAATCTGGTGACACTGGCACGAGTAAACCCTTTCGACATGTCTAGCATGAACATGTTCCAATCGACCGCGGTGGGCTGCTCCACTTTCTGGACGGTGAAAGCAACACCACCAACAAGTTCATACCGTCATCTCGCCATTCATTACTCGACAAAGCAAAGTCCTGGCGTAGTACATCTCGTTTCAGTAAATCATCACTGACTTCTTTCACGGGTCGCCCCCCATCATATGGAATACCCAGCCCGTGGTTCAGCACCGGCAAACGCCAATCCATCTTCGGGTATAGTTCGAATTCATTGCAAACACGTTCGTAGGCCCGTCTATCGTACGGGTTGTTTACTGCATCCCATACTTTGTCTTGTGGGATCTCGGCGCTGATCTCTTTGAGGATACGTCTGACCTGGTAGTACACGTGGAACGTGAACACAGACTGACTCACCGGTCCCCGCCAAGTATCGGTCAACGTCAAGCCACACCCAGTTGTTGCACACCAGATGGCGAAGTTGAGTTGATTCTGCCAGAACTGCATCGGGTTGTTCAAGCAGGCGTGGACTGCCTTGACGTTCGTCACCAAAAGCTTATAAGTGCCAAACCGGGCTCCGAAGTGCAACCCGGCCACGTCGACCACAATCTTCATGTGAGTGAAGTCTATGTCCATCTTAGGGTAAAACACTCCCGGGGAGTCCATTTGAAAATTATTATATAATGGTACATATACTCTAATATGTACGTGACACTTACAGGGATAACGAGCGGTGAGGCCGTTCAGCTGCTACACACGATCGATAACACATCGGGTCACCTCGAAGTCACACTCTGCGATATCACCTACCTGCCGCGGTGGACCAACATCAACGATGACAACAACATCGGAGTAAAGGCCTTGAGGCTCGGCCGACCATTGGCGAGGACGGTCGGGCTGCCGCCGGACGAGATAAAACCCACAATGATGGTCACGGGTACGAAGTTACCCGACCTAGTCTCCTACCGCGAGCTGTGCATTCATTTCAACTAGCTGAACACGACGGACAACATTCAAGGGGGCCACCCTTCCACGCTGTTGAGAGCGGTTCCGGTGAAGACGGAGAAGTACAAGGACAGCAGAACCGAGTCATTTTCACCGCGGTAGTACAAGAGGTTAACTCGGGGCACTGTCCCGGAGTTGGTAATATCAGTGTTAGATATAAGGCATAATCCTGTTAATGTAGGATACCTCAGCATAACGCTGCACATAAAATGACTAGCGCACAAGGACCCGGAAGGGTGAAGAGATGCGTCAATGTAGGGATCTCCGACCTCGGGGACACACGTGGGTTCGACGACGCCGGAGTAGAGGGTAGACTGTACGCCTTACAGCTTAAAAACAGCATTTACAAACGCATTGAAGTCCCCTGCAGTAGAACCCTAGGTGATATAGTCGATACATCAGGAGTGGCCCTCAACACTCAGCTCGACCTAGTCCGCATCGGTGATGATAGATGGTCGGTATATCCATCGTTCGGCAGCAAACTGTTCGACTTAGAAGACGTCGAGAGCACGACTGTCGCCTGAAACAAGCCATATACGCTCGTCTTCACCGACGACGCCAAGTGGGTGCTGTTACCCTATCGAGTGGATTGGTTTCTCAACATTAGGCTCGGCTCCCCCTACGTGTTCATGGAGAACAAAGACAACTACCTAAATAAAGTCGTGAACAATGGAACCCTGCTTGTGGCTTACGTCCCGGCGCAGAGGCGTGGCGTAGTCATCAGCCCACTCTCCAATATGGCAGCCCACATGCTGTCGAGCAAGCCAGGGACGCAAAACGTGGCATTGCAGGTGGTGTCTGAATTCGAAGGCGTGGTCAACATCCTGGAGAGTCTACCGGTGAACTCCACGCTGGTCATCCAAGTCTACCTAGGCGAACCACAGAGTGAAGTCGAAGTTGTGAAGGGGATCAAACTCCGGTGGGGGAAACAACACCAGTATCAGGTTTGCACTGTTTACAGAGGGTGGGTGTCGACTCCCACACCAGTCTGCAGGGGGTCACTGTGACCGTGGAAGACACGATATCACTCACTAAGATCTTCCTACCCGACAACATACACTTCATGGGGGTGAAGTGCACGCCTGAGAAGTTATCAGAAAAACAGTTGGAAACTATCTCGTGATAGTAATATAGCAATAACCAGTCATCGCCCCAACGTCACGTTTAACGACCTAGGAGACACGGAGGGGTTCGATCTGCCCAGCGAGGAAGGCACCTTGTACGTCCTACACTTGAAAGACAACGTGTATAGGCGGGTGTCCCTGACAGACTTAAAAGAACCCGAATGGTTGATCAACATGACCCTCACCACACCTTACGTCTCTTTGACCAAGGATGGCCATATCACCAAAGTTAAGAACAACGGTATCTTGCTCGAGTTTCACCGCTGGTCAGGATATAACAGTTGAACAAACACAACGTCCCACGGGCTACATGTTATATACAATAGCCAGGGACGCACTTTTATCATTCAACTTATACCCTGGTCTACCATATTCTACGATTATGCCTCCAGGCTCCACACTCATCATAGAAACCTTTTTCTCAGCCCCCCCTGTACGGGTCGAAGATGGAGGGGCCAACCTGGCGCCTTTTACCTGGGGTGGAAATAAATTGGCCAGTTACACATCTATTTTGGAACTACCATTGTCGTATCATCATACGACAGAGCTCAGACCCCTCACTGGGGTTGCTGCCCCCCTTAACAAGCTCCGTTGAAGTTAGTATAGAACAAAAGTTACCTATTGACCTTTCCCTTATTCACCTACACAAGGAACTAGGCCTTACAAGCCTCAAGTACATTGATCGACTATTAAATGAAGACCAATTAAAAAATATCTTGTAGTATATATTATACACACAGGATGGGCCTGTACCCAGTCGTAGAGGAAGTAGCGAAGACACCGCTTGAGGCAGTTATGCGACATAAAATGCCAACTAGAACAAGACCGCGACAGACGGACAGCATTATGCAAGAAGTACCATAGAGCTTCCAATGTCATGGACGGGGCGGATACCGCCCTTATGACAACCAAAATATCACAGAATGAAACAAGAGATTCGGTCCAAGTCTCGTAAGACTGCCGTCAGCGAAGCCAAGAAAACAAAGTACATAGAACAAGGCATACAACAAGCCCAGCAAGCCTTCATCACGAAGACCAAAGAGCTCATAGGCGATTCACATTAACTGTTTCCTCGAGGTCAACACGACAAAGGTCGACAATAGCATCACGTGATCAGGAAAGTGTTGGGTCATAGTGACCAGGAAGTTAACTGGGGATTCAAACCAGGTATATACAATAGCGGAGAGAGATAAGGGCCTGACAAAAGCTTTATTTCATAAATGAAGCTTTACAGAGTCTTTTGTGGGAATTGATCTCGTACCCCTGTTGTATATACTTCTACTCTTAACAAGTCAACGTAAATACAAACTTCCCTAGTTTGTTAGACAATATGCGAAAAAAGTTAGAGTAGCAATGTTTTGAACAAGATGCTTACTAGAGGTCACTCTGTACCTCCTTCTTGTTGGCGCCTTGGTGGCTGAGTGGTTTAGATCGCGGCGAATGGATGATGCTTCGCTCACAGAATGTTGGTTCTAATCCCGCACTGGACTCATCCAAATACTAGAATTTAAACTTTACTAAGGAAGTGTTATACAACAAAACATTTGTGTGACTAGTCTACATCACGATGATGAAAATGTTTTACAGTGACACAATTATAATACATTTCATTGTAATGTGTATTCCACGTAACATAATTAATTACAGCACATTTAGCTTGAATTTGTAGATTTTAAACATGCCAGTCAACACTTAAAATAATGTTCATACTTTAACTGAACCGTTTGAGAACAGCTTGACTTCGCGAATAGCTGTAAAACTGCTGATCTTGCGTTAAGCAAATATCACTCACTCACTCCATAAAAAGCGAGGAAAAACACCTGAACAGTGGTGTCTCAGTAGCACATTATACAATACTTTGCTATTCGCCCCAAGGAAATAGCCTTCACACATAGAGGCTCACATCACTGATATCTGCCTTCTCATAGTGTTCCTATTACTCTTTAACGTGTGATTATGGTGGTGACGCTGCTGAATTGCTTCAGGTCTTTCGAGTTGAATATCATTAACATGATTATTATTTACATGACAATCACTTAAACATTTCAGTTCAGGTCCATGGCTCGCTCAGTGTGGTTGTGTTTGGTTCTCATTGTCGGCGTCGCTGAAAGTGGAATTCTTACAAAGGATTTGTACAGGGTAAGTAGCGTTTAGTCTGGTGTTTGCTTAACGCCGTACTCAGCAATGTTCCAGCTATATGGCGGCTATCTGTAAATAATCAAGCTTGGACTAGACAGTCCAGTAATCAGCATTATGAACATCGATCTACACGTTTTGGATGCGATGACATGTGTGAATCAAGTCAACGAGCCTGACCACCCGATCCCGTCAGCCGCCTCTTACAACAAGCATCGGTTACTCAAGATCAATTCTAACCATGATGCATAAGACATAAGTGTAAGATGTGTCTTCTTTTACATAAAATTGACTGAAGACTGACACAATTGTGAAACTCGCGTTGCAGAGTTACGTCCCTTAATTAGTTGTATCAGAAACATATGATAGCATTTTCACTTTCATTTTCTCAAATATAGGTTTCCAAATATATGTTTGTCAGTTCAATAAACAGTCTGACCTGACCTACTGCTGGATTCCATATAAATCTAAGCTGACACACCATTGAATAACTGAAATAATGTTTCACTCGCTCCTTGTTCTGTTTTCCAGATACAGGATCTGGAGTCTCGCGATGCGTGTGAGCTTCTGGACAGATTTGACGGGGATGTGCAGTGCAAAGGAAGTACCTACGATGCATTTTCTGTTGCCGGGCACGTAATCACAATGGCTGACACAGGGACTGTATGCCGGGCTAGACATTCGCTGGACTTTTTTGCTTGTAAAGGAGGGCTTTGGGTCCAAGGTAGTAATCTTGTATCTTGTTTGCTTGCTTGTTCGTTTGTCACAAACACTCTTATATGTTATTTGTCTATCCAATATAACTAATAATGTCCTAGACATATTGCAAATGACAGAATGCATACGTTTCATATTCTTGCCTTTTTTTATATGAAACTTGTACTGGTGAGACTTATTTGATCGTTTATCACTGATGTTCATGGCTTCTTGTTGCTCCTTCATCAGATGAACACTGAACGTACACATCATCCCCATGTCATCGTTTGTATTACGTATATATTGCCATGAGGCCAACTGTACAACATGTGTAAAACAGTAAGGTAAAGACATGCATACCTCATCCCCCTGCCCCGACAATGTGACGTGGGAGGGCGGCGGATTGTTGATGATATGGGCTGTCATCACCATGACTGAGACAATGTGACGGCGGTGGATCGTTGATGATGTGGGCTGTCATCACTATGACTGAGACAATGTGACGGCGGTGGATCGTTGATGATGTGGGCTGGCATCACCGTGACTGAGACAATGTGACGTGTGACGGCGGTGGATCGTTGATGTTGTGGGCTGTCATCACTATGACTGAGACAATGTGACGGCGGTGGATCGTCGATGATGTGGGCTGGCATCACCATGACTGAGACAATGTGACGTGTGACGGCGGTGGATCGTTGATGATGTGGGCTGTCATCACCATGACTGAGACAATGTGACGGTGGTGGATCGTCGATGATGTGGGCTGTCATCACCATGACTGAGACAATGAGACGGCAGTGGATCGTTGAAGATCATCCTACTCATCCTACTCTCCCATCTCGCCCACACACATATCCCAACCACTCGCCCAAACCCACGCACCCAAAACCCACCTCTTCACTAGGCAATCTCAACCATTCGCCCATCGTACATCTCTCCACCATTCGCTCATCTCGCCCATGTCGCCCACTTATCCATCTCGCACAGTCTACTATTTGAACCACTCGCCTGTCTCACCGAACTCACTCATCTTGCCTATTCACCCAACTCGACCATACATCACTTAACCAATCGCCAATCTCACCCACTCGCCCACGCCTGTATTCACACACCCTCATACTCACCCACAAACCCAGCCGCCCATTCACACACCCGGCAACTCATTAACTAATGCACCTGCCCAATTCTACTTTCAGTACCAATCTCCTATGCTCAGTCGTTAAAACGTCCGGAGGATCGGCATCACAGAGAAAAGCGATTTTTGGGGTTTGTTTCAGATGTAGTTGGGGGCGTTGTATCTGGAATTTCAGACTTCGTCTGCATGTTTCTGTGTAGAAGCGGTATGTATATTTTCAATGTCAAGGACAGTTTGGCATAAGATACATAGACTGACACCCCAGATCTTGAAACCAGAAATATTTAAAGGCCAGTGAGATTGTTGGCATATGATCATTCAGTTTTATGATTTTGTTTGGTTGATAAACTCAATGTACATTGATGCATAGCATCACCCCTATGACTTGCTTGAGCTTCCCAATGCAAGGGTGGCAGCAAACGTTAGGCAAGTTAATTTTGGAGTAAAAAAACCTATAACAATAAGACATGGGTGCGTGTATAATTTCATGTTGGATTAATGCCTCTTGGGTTGAATCAGTGCATGGTTGGTGCATACGCGATTGAGTCAGTAAGGGCTGTAGCGATTCATCCACGAACATGTGCGTTTTTTTACCTTTTATGGGGAAGTGGTGTCGCGATAAAAAGAACAAGCAAACCGTTGCTATACGTAATAAAAAGATGTAGATTGATTCGTCTTCTTAACTTTCCATGTACATTTATGAAGACACATCACCATAATGGTTAAATTTAAAACATCAACGAATACCTGTCGAAATAACACCCGTGGAGTGTAATAGCCATATAACTGTATATGAATGACTCAAAACAAAAGTGGATATCGAACGTTAGGCACACGAAATGTATAAAAACTGTAAATCATTAGACAAACATATCTGCTACCAATTTACACACACATCTCCAAGGAAAATTGTTATACAGTACAACCAGAAATTATTGAGAATTTAAAGATTGTAATTTTTTATATTTTTTTTGCAATCATTACTCACGTATTAATGTGAATATTAGCAGAACATAACTCCAGATTCAAAGACAGGTGAACAGTTAGTATTTTGTCAAGTCACAATGGGCAGCAATGCAGGCTTCAATGCAGGCTTCAATGCGGTGGGGCATACTACTGATCAAAGAAGTTAGAAAGTCGTGGTCCATGCTGTCAAAAAAAATCTCGGAGCACCTCTTCTTTCATTTCAGCAATATTTGTCAGATTTTTCTTATTGACACTTTCCTTCATAAGTCCCGAAACATTTTCTATTGGATTTATGTCAGGGCTATAGCTTGGCCAATCTAAAAATGTCATATTGTGGGTCCGAAACCAGGCCTGTAAATGCTTTCAACGATGTTTTGGGTCGTTGTCCTGCTGGAAAATCCAAACATTTCCATAGAAAACGTGAGCAGATGGAAGTAAATGTCCCTCGAGAATATCTGTGTACCGCTCACTGTTTATATTCCCTTTCAAAACACGATAAACAGTGGACAAAGGGATACCCATTCTACTTGAAATCACTCTAGCTGATCTGATGTCCTTGTTATAATACTCTAAAATCAACTTCCTCTTCTCTAAATCATCCATACTGAGGATCACTGAAAATGTCGTCTGCTAGCAAGTAAACAAAGGGGATAACTCTTCACAAACTAATGAAAAAGGATTAACGGAGTTGTCTCTCTTAAATGAAACCAAGCCCTGATAGCCGGTCAAGGTTGTTTATACTAAAAATCCAATTAAACATGTTCCTCAAATTCTCAAAAATTTCTGGTCATACTATATGACAGGTGTGACTTGTGACGTTTATTGTGTGTTACTGGTAATTAACCATCAGGGGGTGGAGGAGGAGGAGGAGGCCCACCGCCAAACACGTTCCCTCAGATTGACTGTCCGTATGTGGGGCCGCAGTTTGCCAAGACGGGAGACAAGATGGTGGTGAACTGGATGGAACCGAAGGGAACGGACAAGGAGGATGTCAGTCTAAGGTTCTCTTTCATGTAACATTCTTAGTGTCAGTAACATTTTTAGTGTCAGTAACACTCTCAGTAACATTCCTGTTATCATTAACCCTGTTAGTGTCAGTAACATCCTCAGTGTCAGACACATTAAAGGAAAGCTTGTTTAAATGAGAAGTGAAGGGGAATTATGGAGTTCATTTGGGAGAGCATTCCAAACTGAGGGCGCACTGTATTTGAAAAAGCGCTGTCCTGCTGTTGTACTTTGGGATTTTTAACAGTTTCTCACTGGAAGAGCGGAGAGTTCGTGGAGCCTTGTAAGTGTCAGTAACTCTTTCAGTGTCAGTAACACTTTTAGTGTCGGCAATATTTTAGTGTTACGAGAGTTGATATTTTTACACCTGTTGTTGCAATTTACGAATCCATAGCTCAGCAAAATAACGGCATTCGAAAGATCGTTGATGTGTGGAACGTGCGGTTTTTAATGTTTCAGTACTGAGGTAATGTGTTTATGTTGCTATTTCCACGATTAATGTGGGCTTTTCTGCGTTTTTCTGCACAGTGGGAAAGTTTTTTTAGGTAGGCCTGTTTAGATGGGCCCGGGGCTTCGACGCTGGCAGCGACATGAGTGGCAGAGGGTGTTATTCTCAGATGAAAAACGTTTCTCATTGTTCAGAGCTGACGGAAGTGTGTGTGTTTACCCCTCGACATCTTGGAGATCTATTTTTTATGGTTATTTCACAATAGGGTTTTTTAATCTGTAGTAGCGTTTCTTTAGCCCGTCAGTTTATGTGTCATATAAACATCAGGGTAAAAGAAAGTTATCACCGACTTCACCTGACAAGTCGTATGTTTGATTTATGTTAATTAGTTTGCAAACAGAAATCATTTGCCAACAATTTGACTGAGAATTCATTGCAATGGTGGTCTTGCATTTGCCGCAATTCATTAAATAAGAGTCAAGGGGTAAAAATTAAGAAAATATTAAAATAAAACAGAGTTCATACAAAAAGTTCATAGAAAGAATCACTCAATTAGATAGAAGTCAGGGGAAACGTTATCAATAGTCAGAAGTATTGACCCATCCACACATGCTAACACACGTCTCCTTATTGACGTCGTCAGTCGGCGGATGACGTCAGCAGGAATCCTGCTCCATAAATCCAAGAGAGTCTGTTCAAGTTCCTGTCGGTTCGCCGGAGGTGGTACATGCTGTCTCAGCACATGATCAAGATTATCCCAGAGATGTTCAATGTCTGATATTCTCGAACAATTCTTGGGGTGTGAGGCCGTTGGCGTGCTGCAAAATGACTCCTCTCGGCTGTTGTCTCACCACTTCATCTTGTTCTCTGGCCACAAATGCCACCCCATACCAAGACGCCGCATCTTTAACGTTGTTTGGCGCCAGTTGTTCGAACAACCCCGAACTCTGCCATCGTATCTGAACCGACTGAACCGACTTTCATCTGTAAAGAGCGACCCGTGAACATCTGGGTTAGAATTGGTCTTCAGTAACCCATGCTTGTCGTAAGAGGCGACTAGCGGGATCGGGTGATCAGGCTCGCTGACTTGGTTGACACTTGTCATCGGTTCCAATTGCGCAGGTCGATGCGCATGCTGTTGATCACGAGATTGTCTGGTCCAGACTCGATTATTTACAGATCGCCGCCATATAGCTGGAATATTGCTGAGTGCGGCGTAAAACTAAACTCACTCACTCACACACCTGTAAAGAGCACTCTCTCTCAGTCACCGACCTACAGTTCGTGGCCACTGCAATCTGCGCTCACGGTGTAGACGGACGGGTCAGTGCCATTCCACGGAAGGGGGAGGGGTAGGTTTAGGCTCGCATGCCAGCTATGACAAATCCTCAAAGGACTGTTCATCTGCTGATGGCGTGTCCTAGTGCTGTCGCAGTCAAGAATATGTTCCGGCTATGTAGCGGTCTTCGTGACTTTTGGTCTTCCCGATCTTGGGCGGTCTTGGGTCTGGCCTGTTTACTGGTAGCGGTTTATCAATTTGCTGATGGTGGCCTGGTTGCAGTTGAAGGTTCTGACCCCAATATTGACCATACCGACCACCCTGTCTCGTTGCACTTGCGTAAGTCTTGGCATATGCGTGGTGGTCCTTTGCCAATTGGTTACTAAACCAGCTTAAGTCTGGGCTAGTACAAGCAGCCGCACCTACACATACACAAGCATGCACGTCGTCATATGAGCGAAATATTCACGACGTTAAACCCAGTTTCACCTCACCTCACCTTTGGTTACTGCATATTTGCTTTGTCTAACATCCGTATTTATGTCACAATTATACACATGCGTTTTGTCTAATGTCCAACAATTACGATTGAGACCTTTTCTCTATTCATACGAAGTTTTCGGACAGCTGCGTTGTTTTCGGGACCATGTTTTGGTGAACGTTTTCTGCTTTGGTTCAAACCTGTACAAGCGTTTTTGTTTCTTATACAATTACTTTGAAAGTGATAACGTTCTTTTGCTCAGTAGTTTACATAAACTAAAGCTTTCTGAACGTTTTAAAACTCCTTTTGTCAGATCACACTGGAATGTTGCACACTAGTGCTCCTGACTATAATTGTCAACAGAAACTTGACTGTCAACAGAAAGATACGCAATGAATAACATGTACATTGCTCCATAACTTGTTGCAGCCCTAGGAGATCAGGGTTACCTCCTGGAAGTGAGTTCATTGCGGCCACACACTTTATCAAGTACCGAGTTGTGGACAGTGGTGGCCTGTCCGCAGACTGTGATATTGTCTTCACAGTGAACAGTAAGTTACGACCTTCACACGTGTGTACGTGTGTGTTTGCTTGTGCATCTGTTTGTTTGTCTATGATCTTGTTCTAGCCAAAATATATCTGAGGTGTTATTCCACTGAGATGCACAAAATGTTAAGTTCACCGTAACTCCAATACGTTGTAATAGGTTTAGTAAAGCTGTAGCGCTGAGAACACTTAGTGCAACATGGTCCCTCGTTCTTTCAATCGCTTAATGCCGACCGCCAAAAGTAGTATCTTTTAATCTTTGGCATGATGACAATACTGGACAATCCACCCTCACTTCTCCGCCATCATGGCCAACATTTTATCCACTACTCCAGGCGTTTATATGTTCTAGGGGCAGCGTGGTAGCTTAGTGGTTAAAGCGTTTGCTTGTCACGCCGAGGACCCGGGTTCGATTGCCCACATGGGTACAATGTGTGTAGCCGTGATATTGCTGAAATATTGCTAAGAGCGGCGTAAAGTCTGCTGACGCGACTGTTAGAACGTCAAGTGGACACTGAGATTTACGTAACGTCACTTACATGTTACATGTCATATATATATATATATATATATATATATATATATATATATCACAGATTCGTGACCGGAAATTCGGTGTGTGTTTTACTTGTGAACTTGTAGCCAATACAAACTGTTGTAGGTGCCACTAACTGGGTGTGCGCGATTGTATCATATACGAGCTGATCGTGTCTTATACATCCATCGCCCTTCGATCCGTTTGTGTACCACCAAACCCGTAACACCCGTACGCCCTGACACATTCCTCAAATTAATATTAGAGTTTTTACTTCATGTTTCAGCGATCCACTGTACCCCCTTTACGTATGCTCACCATGGTCGTCTCCGATGCACCAAGAGGGACATATCAGGATCGGAGTGCACCGTGTACTGTGACGACGGCTACACTGTTGACGGTTCTAACCCCATCAAGTGTGAAGAAGGGGACTGGTCTGATCCAGAACCAAGGTGTAAAGGTATGGGTATTTCTGGGAATATTCTTATCATTACTCGTCATTGGATCAAGCTATCTGAGTCTCGAGTCACCATCCTGTAAATACAGGTAGAAGCAGGTAGACCTGTAGGTTAGTTTACCAAACACTTACCTAGAAACAGTCAAACACCAGTGTGTGGAACTCTGGTGTGTCGAGCCTTGCATAACTCAAAGTATCTTTGTAGACCCTTTATCAGCGATAAAAAGGTGTTTGGCTGTATTAGACATTGAAATTTTACAATTTGCCTGGATCTTCCATGTGCGGTTCGTCTGTTAGCCCATAATGTTCACTGGAGCTCTGGCCAATAAGTCTGCTTTGTTTATATGCCACGCATTGCAGAGCTTCTGCTTGGTCGTGGCAGCAACAAGCCGACTGTAAGTGTGTAAGTGGCGGACGCTACTAAGAGGGCAGCTTGTGTACCCTTTTCGCAAGCACCTGGTGATTTGGCTGATCAAGTAATAGGCATAGGATAGTTACAGCTGTCATGGTTAGTACACCTAGTACATCGGTATTATGTTGTTGCTGTTGACCTGGCTTATAACTTTACACTACAAGTGTCGCCTGTCTTCCCGCTTTTCACAGCTGTTTCCTGTGGTACACCGCCAAGTGTGGCAAACGGGCAGCTGACGTGTCTGGGGGACGTCGTGTACGGCACGTACTGCTTGATGACCTGCGACAGGGACTATCAAACACGAGGGATGTTGATGAGCACATGTCTGGCAACAGGGCAATGGACCCCGCCCGGAACCTGCGCAGGTATGTATAATTTGCTGCCACGCTGCCAAATGGCTTTTCCGGGATCCGCGAAGTCCAGGTTCGAATCTTAGATTCGTCCGGATTATCATGGTGTCAGTGTAATTCTTCACTTTGTAGCTTACCCTTTTCCACGACCTGCTTTTCTGCGACTGAAGTAAAACTACATTTAGATGCTCTAAACCAGTAATTGTCTTACTCTCCTTCCAAACGGATTTTGAGAAATGTAATACAACGGCGACGTCTTGTATCTGTTATGAAAAAGTGTTGGCAGTATCCACGAACACGACCACTCTGTAGATCTATAAGTAGGTTGAAAGTGACGATGCACCATGCGACCTGTAAAGATCTGGGTTAGAATTGGTCTTCAGCAACCCATGCTTGTCATGACTCTGAAGGAATCAGGTGGTCAGGGTCGCTCATTTGGTTGATACATACCAATTTCGTACATCAATGTTCATGATGGCAACAACACGCAAACAAACAAACAAACAAACGAAACGCCACACCGTGGATGGGGTGTGTGCAGTGGGTTGGGAAATTAGCTCACCTAGTAATCAATTATTTCTTTAAACCTGAAGATTTATTCACAGGTGAATTCAATGGCCGCGATAATACAATACAAAAATATATATTGAATAAATAGAATTTAAGGGAGAGCACCCCGGTTGGAACTTTGTACCTTCATCTCTGTTGCAGATATCAGTCCACCATCATTCACTAATGGCTGCCCCGATGACGTTGAAGATTATTCTGAAAAGAAGGGCGGGGGAAAGGTAGTCACGTGGGACGACCCAGTTGTCAAGGACAGTTCAGAGGTCACAATCACAGGAAGTCACCAATCAGGAGCGGTCTTTGAATTGGGCGAGACGAAGGTGACACTTACCGCCACAGATTCTGAAGGGAATACAGCTCAGTGTTCATTTAAAGTCACCATCAATGGTAAGTACGCCAAGTTGGACAACTGTAAGGGCATAGAAGTGTCTCTCTGCAAGGAATTAGAATTAACGTTCATGAAGTTTCAAATGCTAAGATTTACGAGCCCTTGCACTTGAAGAAGTAACTTTCCATTCACACATTTGAAAAACTAGGGAAAGATTACTAGCATATCACAAGCACTGACACATTTGGAAAGTTGTGAAAATGTCTCTACAGTTATGGGGAGTTTTTAAGATGTGATCTTTGTTAAGATCTGTGCAACCCTTAACCCTAAAAATACGGGAGGCATAGGTTGACAGATCATTCTGTCCATGTTCTTTCCAAAGCATTTAAATGATTTCCTTCCAATATGGTGGGATACCAAACGGGCGGCGGGGTAGTCAAGTGGTTAAGGCGTTCCATTCCTCACATTGGTATAATGTCTCAAGTCCATCTCTGGTGTCCCGAGCCATAATACTGCTGTAACATTGCTAAAAGCAGCGAAGACCTAAAGTCACCCACCCTGGATGCCATGGCCTATAGAAAAATCATGTTAACTGGGGTGTTTATATAGATATCCTTGTGTTCAGGTCTGTACTGTCAGGAACCAGATCTCCAGGATCCCATCGACAAGTTGAAGTACGATTGTCCCGACGGCTACGGCCACGGCTTCATCTGCTCTCTCTCCTGCAACTCAGGCTACCCCTTGCAGGGACCCGACTCCATCCTCTGTCAGAAAGACGCCAACGTCTTCCCCCCAACAGCATCGTGGACGTGGGCCTCGGATGCATTTAAACCGTTTTGCAGAAGTAAGGATTTCAGTAATAATTGGCGGATAGTTTCTACTTTGCATACGAATTGGTATGTGTGTCCAGTAACAAAATGTCATCTCTTTCCCTGTAAGATGTTTCCGAGCGTTGCTAGGGGTGTCATATGGGAACTGTGTCCGCCACTGGCAAACCATCCACGCTTAGTGGCGGATGCTAAAGAAAGATGATGATGCAGGTGAAGATTGCATTCACCTTTATCATTCATCTTCCGAATCAGCGTGCATGTAGCTGTGCAGGTCTTGACTTCGTCACTGTGCACACTACCTTACGCTTTTATCTGTAATCATTGAACCTCTCTTGTAGTTAAGGGCTGTCAATCTGAAGCATATCTTTAATAACGGTTGGGTCTTTCCTCTAAATTACGGTTGAGTCTTCCCTCTCTTTCCAGGGTTAAATACACTGGGCAATTCTACAATTCCCGCTTTTGTTTAGTAACTCAACCAAGATGGCAGTAGGGTGTAGTTTCTGTTAGATGAATCATTCACACTGACACGTCCCGGACATTCCGTGATATATACTACACATCAAAGGTTTAGACTCGCTTAAATCAATCACTATATGTTATGTATGTACATATGGTTACAACAAAGATGAATTTCTCCACTAACTTGGGGGAAACATCTGCAAACCTTATGCAGATTAATTGCACGAGGATCATGCATCAAATTGCTGAAAAGCATGTGTAAATATCGTGCATGTGAACAGCTGCGTTTTGGTGTAAAGTTTTGATAAAAAGAATTCCATTTTTCACCGAGTTTCATCATTTATTGAACACATGACAATAAACTTTTCAAAGTCATGAATTTGTTTTACAATGCATCAGCTCATATATAAACAGTACTTTTAAACTGTATGGATTACTTTACAAACTCTAGTTCAGGACAGTTGATTGAAGTAAGTGGCTACACTTACACTAGTGAGTCTAAACCTTTGATGGGGAGTATATGTAAAAACACTGATTAAAGTATTGCGGCAGATCTGTATTGACAGATATGTATGAAAAGCATGTGGTGAAGTATGGTTGGTGTCATATTGTTGTCAGATACCACATGTGCCGACCTGCCGGTCCCTAAAAATGGAGCTCTCGTCTGTGACGCCTGGGGTTCTGGTGGCAGGATTTGCACCATGCTGTGTAACGAGGCATACGATGTGACGAAGGATGTCCCAGACGTGTACGCCTGTGGACAACAGACTGGGAAATGGTTTCCACGCGACGACGTCCAGGACTGTACAGGTTAGCTTGCTGGTATTGTATATTGTTGTGATTCATGTGTGCCCAGTTTTCCCAAATAATACTTTGACAAGCATCAAGAACATGACACCTCTTATGGGAATCAACGCATTTGTCTGTAATTGTTTCAAGGCTACGACTGGTCCATTAGATTTGTCCATTAAAGTAATGTAATACAAATCATCATGCATGATAATTTAGATATTTCAATCAATATGTACTCGATGGAGGAGAAAGATGCCGCCCTGAAACTAAGTACAAAGTTGCAAAGTTTAATATCTACATAGTACCTTCGTTTATCATCTACGTCCAACGTGTTAGTGTCTCCTGGCAGTGTGATTCAGCCTAGCCTAGATTTTTATGAATATTCAAAGTCGGGGTATTTATGTAATGACTATTGGATATTTGGTGAATATGTTGTTACAATCAGGGCAGTTTAGAACGCAACAACTACTTCTGTGTTTTGGAATCACTATCCAATAGTAATACTACTTGATGTTCATGAAAAGGTGAACGTATCCTGATTCACCATGAGCATCCGTCACAAACACATGCAAAGGCTACTCAACTGCCAAAGATACTTAGGAACGAATTATACAAGTCCAATTCAGGAAGTTATGATCATAAACCATTTATGATTATGACGTGTTAGTGTCCTCTTAAATTGTCTCTATTATTGTCTAACAGCAGAAAATGTCCACACCATCTATGCCCATCTTAAGATAGAAGTAAGTACAACTTATCCTACTTCTGATCCATGTAATGTGACCACTGATCGCTGATTGTTTTTTTTAAATAAATGTCATACCGAATTATCTTCAGAAAAACGAAATCCACGCAACATGAAGCTTGCCAGTGAATTTTACTACTACTCCGGATCCTGTCCTGACAACAACACCCAGCTTGCCATCGCACAACAGTTCGTCAACATCATCAACACGAGCAGCGCTTTCAGCCAAACATGTTTAGCGGCATTTCCAGTATGTCATGCGGAATATGTCGATATACAATGTGGTGAAGTAGTTAGAAGAAGGAAGCGCTCTGTAGAAGGATCTGCCACAGAGATTGTCCATCCCAAAGTCAAACGATCAACAGTTCCTACGGTCATAACGTTTGTAATTACAGTACCCTTTGATATAGGTTCCAATGAAAATGCTGAGGCTGCAAGAACAAGGTCGGAGAAAGGTTTCGACAATGTCATAGGTTCCATTGACCAAATGCTTGAAAATGGAGACCTCAATATGTCCCAGTATGGACTGAACACTCAAGAAGACTCCTTCCATGCAGGATACGCGGCGCTTGACTGTCCTTTTGGAACCAAAGCAAACAACGAACAAATTTCATGCTGTGAGGTTGCATTCTGTATCTCTATCGTTAGGGACACAATCTCCTATACTTAAACCTTGTTTTTACTGTTCTGCTTTGACACAATCCCATTAAAGAAAAGCGGCAATATCCTTTCCTCATCCCTAAGTAATCTCAAGGGTTCGAAACAGGTCAGGTGATATTCGTATGCCCTACATTTGTTTAATCAAGTAAATGTTTGCTTCTAATGGCACGAGTATACATGGCATGAGCATCAACCCATTTGTAGCAGCATTCAGGCCGTAAAGAAACCATGCTTGTCGTTAGGGGCGACTAACGGGATCGGGTGGTCAGGCTCGCTCACCAGGTTCACACATGTCATCGTATCCCAATTGTGTAGCTCGATGCTCATGCTGTTGATCACTTGATTGTCCGGTCCAGACCGCTACAATATAGCTGTAATATTGCTGAGTGCGGCGTTAAACAACAAACAAACCTAACAGTAGCAATCATATATCTTTTCAGCCGGATGTCCCACAGGGACGTATGTAGACCCGGTCTCTGGAGACTGCGTGTCCTGTCCCGTTGGCAGCTATGCTGATGAAGGCTTTTCGGATTCCTGTAAACAGTGTGGCGAGGGGAAGTCGACCAGATCTACAGCATCAAGATCTGTGAACGATTGTATTGGTGAGGTGTACAGCTACTAACATATCGTAGTCTCGCTGATGTTTGTTCTTGATACATGTCTGGGGATAGTCAAGGCTATTAATGAAGACGTTACGTAAACATAATGTCATATTTAGTTTTAATGATGTAATGCCACTGTACAAAGCGTAAACATTTAAGCAAAGGATTATTATGACATTAAACGTAAAGCTATTACAATTCGAATGGGAACCATCACCAATAACTAATGTGTAAACTCGGCCATTAATGCAACATGACATGGTGTTTATAGATACCTGTACAAAAGGCTCCTTCTCATTGGACGGCATGGCACCCTGCACGCCATGTACCCGTGGGACGTATCAAAATGGTGAAGGGATGACGTCGTGCACGTCGTGTCCGACCGGCACTACATCACCGCAAGGATCTCAAGACGCCAGTGCCTGTGTTGGTACGTTTGTTGTTTTGGACGCAGATCCGGAACTCCGAAATGTGAAAACTGAAATGAACACTGTATAAATTATGTCGCGTATTCACCTGATGTGGAGAGGAGCCCAAAGTGATGCAGGTCTTAGACCTTTAACACTTCTATACAATCCACGAATTAACCAAGTCTTGAAAGAAATGATTATTTATCCATCATTCTTTCTTTACCGTTCTTCGTTCTTATTGTTACAATAATATGTGTGGTAGTATTAGATTGATTGAATAATGAACACAGCTTGTATGAAACAATGCAAAATGAGTACAGTTCACACATTTTAGCCTTTACAACTTCGACTACCACAAATGTTGAGAAACAAATATTCTTGACCAGGCCCATTCTTTGTTTCAACATAACAGTACATTATTAAATGTCACACACATATCAGCAGATTAAAGTTACAAAGAATGACAGTCATTTCTGTTGTCAGAAAGTCAGAAATGTTATACTTCGGACTGGTGCTGGTAAACAAATAATATTATTCAGAATGAAACATTCCATCATCATATACTGACAAAGGATAGGGACTCATGTGTCCAGGGTGGTAGTGACGTGCTACAGAGAGGCATGTGAGGTCACACGAAAACATATTCTCTTACAGTATACGTCAGAAGGGCGTCATATGACTTTGTTTTCTATTCAGCTTTTGACTTAAAGGTTCGTGCTAACAAGGAGACTGTGTTCGGTAATATCAGCTCGGACCTGAGCGCCCTGACCATGTATTTCTGGAGCCGCTCGGACACAAGCCTTGGACACACTCTGACACGCATTACCGACACTGACGGCAACACCGTCGTCGAGCTCTCAGTCACCAACAGCGTCATTCTGAATATACAAGGGTAGGTATCTTTACATCATTGTCATTGTAAACATTTCATGTTTTCTTTTTTAAATGAGTGGATTGCTGAAAGATACACTCACTTTGTATTTTGGTTTAAATATGTGGCAGTCATATATCTGCTTTGAACAACAACAACAACACGTATTTAAGAAACGGTCTTTATTCAAAATAGAAACCTCCTAGATACAGATGTAAACCCTGCAACAAGCTACTGGCAACATCTGACCTTGACCTTAGATGGCAGCAACAAGGACCTGGCTCTCTACCTGAATGGAAACCCGATTTACTCCGATAACATTGCGTCGCTAACAACCCCTATTGTTCCACGTGACAGCGAGGTTGCCATTGTATCAGGAAATGGAGGTATTAACATAGAAAACCTTGTGTAATTTGCCGAAAACATTTTATCTGAAGTTAGCTATGTGTGTACAACATGCACACGATAAGAGAATGTGGTTCTGGTAATATTTGAAATACTGGATTCATGTTTTATCGATATCGTCAGTGTTACAGAACGTATACTCAAACACCATTTTGTGGAACTTTGATGTATCGAAAGTACGGTTGTCTCGAAGTAAAAGCTTGGTCCTTCTTCCTTATTTAGTCAATCTTTATTCTTCAATCGAATCGCTAAATATTTGCGTAGGTCCCTTCAATACAACGATGTTTGGTGGTATTTTTACTCTAGATATTACCTTGAGCGCCATCAACATTATTGAGCGAGTTGCGTCCCTTGGTGAAATACAGGCTCAGACAACTTCCTGTGTGTCCATACTACAAGATTCAGCGTTGACATTCAAAAAGAATGGCAGCAGCCTCATTGTACCAAGTCAATGTGATGGTGGGTTTTAAAATCATTTCTTCGTATTCCTCTTATTCTGATATTCGATGACGTATAGTCATTTACTTATCGTGCTATGATACAACCATGGGCTTCAGATAAGATTGAAGCAGCAGTCAGAAAGAGTTATGTGCCCTTACATGTCAAATGTCAATTATTATTGTGGTCGTATGAACGCTCATACAAAACCCAAACTACGTTTTTCGTGATACATTACAGTACATTTCAATTAATTTATTCGAGAAACTATTTGCCACAAGGGTAATGTTGCCATCGCCATATTATTGCAAAGTGAACTCTTCTTCCACTTGACTATTTTGGTGCACTCATATTACTAGTTTTACTTTGGAGAGTTACAACTTGCATTGATATGTACGTTATTTCCATCATTTCCTTTTGGTGCGCTAATGAGCCACCAGACACCATTCGTTGGGATTCGAACACGGGTCTTCGGCGTGACAAGCGAACGCCTTAACCATTAGCCTACTCCACCGCCCATACGTTTTGGCGAGATATGTACAACAGCACGACTATCTGTTGCAGCTGTTGATGGCTGTCTTACCAACCCTTGTGGCTCCAACCCCTGCAAGGACGAGCTGGAAGGATTCACATGTGACTGTCAAGATGGCTGGACGGGGGACACGTGTAGCATCCCACCAGACTACTGCGCACATCACGAGTGTCAGAACAGTGCCATCTGTGAAAACGGAAACGGGAATTACACGTGCAAGTGCCTGAAGGGTTTCAAGGGGCAACTGTGTCAAGAGCTTATAGGTGTGTTTCAACTTGGAAATGTGCAGTACATTCCAGTTACCAATTCCCAAATCCCATAGCACGCACAGGGATGTGTGCTACTGTACGACTGGGTATACAGAATAAACATGTGCCATGGAATGTATTTTGTTACTATCAGGTCATATAACCATCAATGTCATGTAACTATCAACTGGAAATGCCTTTTTTAGGAGAAATCAACTGTAATGAGATATTCGTGTCTTCAAATGCTCTGTACAAGAGTGAGTGAGTTATTTTTTATCGTCACAACGGCAATATTTCATCCATATCGTGACGAGAACAACAAATTATTGTATTACAGAACAATGAAACTAGAAAGTAAAAGTTTCTTGACGAAGAACAGTAAACCTACCAGTGTATCACTGATACCAAAAAAAAAGTAAAACTAGCATGTTATTTTTAAAGAGAGCAAATACAATATACAATCAGGCTATAGATTGCCAACAACTGAAGGTAAATCACTACACACGAGACCATTGCGACTTAGCTCTGTACAAGAATGAGGATCATAAATGTTCAAGTATGCCTCAGTAACATCTCTGAAATTTCTTCTTGAAGTCAATGGCAACTGGGGAGAATGGTCAAAGAAGACAGAGTGTTCAGTGTCTTGTGGAGGCGGAACCAGATCACGAAGTCGTCGTTGTGACAGCCCGCCACCTGACGAGGGTGGTGACGCTTGTGATGGCGTTTCTGAGGAGACAGAACAATGTAATATAGACGCCTGCCCAGGTAACTACCCGATGTGCACTCAAGATCTAATTTACTGGCAGATCCTAACAGGGTACAATTTAGCCGTTGTAATCGTTGACCAAAAGTCACATTTCAGGGTGGTTCCTAAATGTCAACATTTCTATGTGTTTGTGTTAGAAGCTGTATATCATAGCATATCACAACAGTTTCGTGAAAAGTAACAAGATACAAGTCAGTTTGCATGATGCCTCAGTTTATTGTTATATTTTAACTTAGAGTGCCCAACACTGCGTCTGTCCACTGGAAATGTGAAGAACTGTACAGAGTCTGATGGCTACACCAGATGCACTATCGCATGCCGAGGGGATATGGTGTTCTCCCAGAAACCGTTACCTGTGTATGAGTGTGGTTCTGGCAGTAACTATGTGTGGAACCACCAGGAACACAAGAGTAACGCCAGACCTCCTGCTTGTCGACGTGAGTTGATTCCATATTTACTTGTGTATGTATCTACCACTGGTGTCACTAACTGTGACGTCAAAGACATTGGGCTGTAATCTATTCAAGAGTCGTCACTCATGGTCAGTCTGAATGCCGACGGTCCTTAGTTTGCTGGTGTTTACTGGCCAATCGGTTGATAGTCGATGGATGGAAACAAACACTCCTTGCAATAGCCTTCAGTGACATGACAGCATTTTGCATCTTTGAGCTGTTGTCAGTTCAGGAGACCCCATATTTGCTTATAAACAACGAAATCAGTTGACTTTCCAAGTTATCGAACTGTAAGAACAGTGTACTGAGACTTGATATGTTCTTAATGGCGGGTACATGAAAAGCACGTGAAGCTCTCCATTGATCGTAGAACATGCATATCTAAAATTAATGTATGGTGAATGAACACGTCCAGTTGGTTCAAAAGCTTCTTTTTTTGTGTGTGAACAGATCAGTCTGCAGACACATATTATAAGTCATCAATTTCAGTGATCCTCTCATATAACATTCAAGGCCATTTTGTCTTTCTTGGGCAGCAGAATATGTTAAGAATCCAGACTGCTTATTTAGGTCGCAATTGTCCATCTATATAACGGCGGGGGATCCAAAACTGAGTTTCCTCCATTATACCCAAGAATGGAATGGCTCCTGGGCGTTCAACGGAATAATCAAATTCCATATCCGTTCGGCTGCCGTTCTTAATTGTACGTTCAAGCATTTTGCCGCGAAATCTTGGCAACTTATCTTCTAACCTTGTTACATATTTATCGTTTGATGATTAAATCCATTTCATGACGTTAATGATTTTTTATCTCATATTTAGCTGCTGAGGGAGCCACCCGTTACGACGTGACCCACACCGTCACATACCCAAACTTCCCATGTACCTCTGGTAATGGTCGATCCGATGAAATCAAGTCCCAAGTTTCTGACAGTGTGAAAGACTTGACCTGCCTCCAGGAGAACATATGTACAGCGTCGGTTGAAATCAACAGCTGCAATGGGGATGGAGTGAGCAAGAGGTCAACAACACCCACCGTTGTATCCGTTCTCATTTCCACCATCATGGGCAGCACGGAATCTCTTGATCTCACCGAGTTTGTTGAAAATAACATTGGTAAATGTTACGTTGAATCTGTCCACATTGGTAGAACATATTTAGATGTTAAGCAATCTATAAAATATCCCCAATCAATCTGTTTGAGTAATCGCTTGAAAACGGTGGCAATACGTTTCTCTATTATAAGGTAATTTTGTTATAATGCCATTTAGCTAAATGTCGTTAAAGCAACATATTTTCTGGACAACACCTGAAACACGTTTTGATGTATATTCTTACACCGTTATCACATGTTTGATAATGTTCAAGGAATCTACATAGAAACACGACTTGGAGGGAAATAACAGGACGTTGTTATCAATACATTTCCACATCTATTGGCCGGCTTCCAGAATCCTACTCAAACAATTACCTATGTTTTATTATGTTTCACAGTAACTACAGGCCTTACAAACTACCTGAACAAACTGATGAAGACCGAACTTTCTATCCAGTCACTTGTCAACAGCAGTAAAACACTATTGACACTGACCATAGATGGCGCCACCTATCTGGTAGATACAGATTCAATGTCCACCACGACGGTGACCACCTGTCCTTCTGGAACAACGCCCACAGAGGGTGTCTGTGGTCAGTTCACGACGGTCAACTTCATTCCATCCCACAATATATTTGCCTGTAGCACATTTCCTTCCTTTCATTGGAAAAAAACTAGAGCTGTGAATTTGTAAATTCATATCTTTGTATGTTACTCAAGTTACTTTAAAAGAATAAACTGATTTTATAGTTTCATACCATTCTTAAAAGAATAAAGTCCAATACTTTGGCAACGTGTTCGAATTATCATATCTTTCAACAAGCAAAATGTCGTGCAAAAACGTCATGCTTTGAAATCTTAGAATTGTCAGTCTTGCAATATTCTCTCATTTGTCCAGGACTATGCCCCGCGGGTTCAAAGGAGGTAAACGGCAAGTGTGAGTTGTGCGAGAAAGGCACTTATCAACACGAAACAGCTAGCACTTCCTGCCTGATGTGCCCGTCAGGAACGACAACTCCTGGAGTGGGCGCGGATGATGTCAGCCAGTGCATAGGTAGTGTTTTCATAGTTCTCGAATTCAACGATGTAATATCGCTGTTTGTCTATAAGATCTTAACAAAGTTAGGAAAGAGGTCTTACGATTTTGACAGTTTTGAAACAAATGTATTTGTTATAATACTATATAATTATCCATAGTACCAAGTTACTAACATAACTTTAACTTCCAGGTCGCTACCTCCTGCAGTATCACCATACGTTCACTATAAATGCACTTAAAACGATTACTGATCAAAAGTTCAATATCATGGTATCATATATTTATCATTTGACACTTGGGATAAGAATGAAATTTTCCAGCTCCACAGTGTCAGTATTTAAATAGGTAAATGACATTTTATATAAATGTTGTTCATAAGGATGTGTGTGTGTTGTTTGCTTGTATGCGTGTCTGTGCGTGCATGCGTGTGTATGTGTGAGTGTGTGCCTCTGTGTGTGTGCCTCTCTCTCTCTCTCTCTCTCTCTCTCTCTCTCTCTCTCTCTCTCTCTCTCTCTCTCTCTCTCTCTCTCTCTCTCTCTCTCTCTCTCTCTCTCTCTCTCTCTCTCTCTCTCTCTCTCTCTCTCTCTCTCTCTCTCTCTCTCTCTCTCTCTCTCTCTCTCTCTCTCTCTCTGTCTGTGTTCCCACGTTCATCATCGCTATACAACAGCTTTTCTCAGCATCTCAACTTTAATCTACAAATGTGCCGCTAACGCCATTGCTTGTATCACTCAAGTGTGAGGAAATATCTGATGGAACTGATGTATGTGGCACAAGTCAGAACATTTATTACACAACAGTCTCGGTTCCGTCCTATTGCGCAACTTAGTACAATAACCAGTCCAGAATTTTGAGACCAATTCATTTAACTGGATACATACATATTAATCAGTATTATTTGATACATCTAAGCACATGTATGTTGCAACACTACGCTCCTGATAATCTTTGCAAACATGTCGTACAGCGTGCTCTGTCGTACAGCGAGCTCTGACAAACGGAAACGTGGAAATCTCAAAACGAGGCTCTGCCGCTAGAATAGTTTGGCGGTCTGGTATGGAACTGATAGTATATCAATCACATTGTGCGTTACAGAACTACTCTGAATATGCGTAAAAACACATAACAGGTATAACCAGTGAGCCAGATGCATTGTGAATCATTTTACGTCCTCATAAAACAGGGGCAGTCTGTGACGTCTTAGTTATGGTCATGCTGCCAACCTCTCGCCATAAAATATAGAAATACGATGTTATTAAAGTTTAGAATTAAAATTCATTTGTAAATACCATTTTCTGAAGAAACAAGAAATTGGAATTCAGTGTAACCATAGTTGTTTGTAATGTCTATTTTCTCTTTCACACGAGAAAATTCGGATCGGCTAAAAAGTAGGTCATTGTCTGAATAGGTTAATGAGACTCATGTTTCGGTTTGTGATGCATGTAAACGTTTCATTTCAACACATAACTAATCATTTACTTTACATATGCATGTACTGTCCATCTAACGTCATTTACACGTTAGTATAAAACGCTTTAAGCTTTAACATTGATCCTTTTATGATCTTCATGGATCACATACACTTAAATTTTGTGTACACTTTTACGGGCTATATTCACTCACTCACACAATCAATCACTTACTCGCTTACTCATTATATCATCAGATGTGGCTGTCAAATACGCAGAGTGACTGAAACTATTAAAGAATGCTTTTAGTCAAACCTTTACATAAATCAGTATATGTAAATGCAATCATTGGTCCAAATGCACACTTAGATGAGTATATATATTTGATTTGTTCAATTGATAATGTTAAAACAATTTTCATATATTAATGCAGTGACTATTATTATTGATATTACAAACTGGGTGGCATTTAAACCATTAGCTGTAATATTTCTTCAATTTCGAAACAGATTCAGATGAGAAGAATGAGAAGGACCCGAAAGAAGAGCATGGTAAGTGTGCAAGAAAGGGGGTTTATGAAACATTCTAAACATAGTGCATTTGAATATATTTGGCGTCTGGAGGATAACTCCTAGAAACATATTGTATAGACACAACAAACCAGCTCCCTCTTGTTGTATATTTAGTTCATAGTTAACATAAATATAATATACATATATATATGCAGAATGTGTTTCGGCAGATAATAGAGATAACAGGTTATGTTCTGCTGTTGACATTGTATATTTATGTATATTATAACATGAATGGTAATTCTGTTATATCAACACACAACGAAATCTCTACTATTGAATTCCTACTGAAGTGGTGAATAATTGTATAAAATCGGGAATTGTGTAGTCAGTCTCGCTGACGTGATTGACGCATGTCATCGTATCTGAATTGCGTAGATCGATGATCCTGATTTGAATCACAGGATTGTCTGGTCCGGATTCAATCATTTTCAGACCGCGATGAAATAGTTGTATAACTGCTGAATGCGGCGTTAAGCACCAAACATGCAAACAGTGTAAAACAGAGACAAACACGCGACTTTGTTTGGGGAACCAGAAAGTGTTTTAAAGAGTATACAAAATACCCAAAATACAAATTACCAATATGAAGACTGCAACGTACTCATAACTTGCAATTTTAACCGCTCTAAAATCATCAATGTTTAACCTTCGTGGAAATAACCTTCTTCCAGGATTTAAGTACTTCTCATGTTTCGCTTCCAGATCATTTTGAGGCTTTCTTTGCATTTCGTAACATTGGAAGCTGATTACAATGGCAGTCATGTTTGTATGCTTACATGGAAATCCAAATAAACATATTTACCAAAGATACCTATATTTATTTTGGTGTCATTAGATTCATATTGGGAATTGTGTATGGAAACTCATTCGATCTTTGTGCCACTAAAAGGAGATCTTTGTGTTTTCAGCATTTTATATAAGTCAATTTTCCCCTCACCAATGGTAGTTTATTCATGTCCGTGTGAATAGCAAGTTATTCCTTTCTGGACCAACGTACCTTTTGACATCATTGGGGTAACTGGTCATGGTCATAGTTGGGAGACTCTAAACTTAATACGATTTCAAGACGTCACAAAATGATCAATAGCTTAGGCTTCCACTGGTCGAATTCACCCACCGTATTGGCGCCAAATTCTGCGAGCGGAGCTGAATGTGTGTTCTCTGGTGTCCTGTCATTCATTTCATCCATCATGGCAGCCCCAGTGGATATTAAGGGAGGATCCATCACATTTTTCTGGGCATAGGGATGACCTTCAGTGGACTCACTGATGGTTATGTTCACAAGGTGTGTATCGATTCTCTGGGGTCCTGCCATGTATTTCATCCAACGGTTTCAAGAATTTCAAATAATGACCCATCCAATCCTTCTTGGTATTAGTACTGCTCTCAACGGGAATACTCGGGCTCTTAAATGGTTTAGTTCATTGTCGGACGCTCCTGGTCTGTCTCTGGAATCTTTGTCTCAACTGGTTTTTAATCATTCGTCTTTTGGTGGTCATCACAAACATCAAATAACGTTCCTTCACCACTTCCTTCTGGTCTTGGGGATTACTTACAATGGTTATACAGCTATCCTGGTCCGTTGACACATTTAACAAAGCTTCCTTTGTGGTGCCGTTTACCGGAATCACATTACGGGGCACTATTCTGAAATCTGGATGAGTTGTTTCACTTTGAATGGCTCTTAAGTTTTATTTGACCTGTGAATATGATGGTTAATAATTACTGATTGTAATAAGTTATAACCAAACCGTCATTAATTAAAACGCTTTAACTTCCTATGTTGTAGTCTCCAAGCGTCTTCGGGACTAATGTCTACTAAATGCTCTATCTAAACTGTCTAAACTAAGCATTTGTACATTCTTGCTTACATGTATATTGTAATATATTAGAAACGTGTGGATTGGGACGTTTTGACCAAACGCTCAGTAGAAGAAGACTTCTCTTAGCCTCTCCTCACACAATCAACGTGTTTGATAAAATAGTTCCTGTAACTTGTATACCAAGGTATGTTATTCATAAATCCAGGACATATTAATCACAATCCCAAGATATTTGAGTCAAGTGCACAGTTTTAGTTACCTGCATCTGCACTGTGTGGCCTAATAAACACTGTAGCTGTTTAATAATGTTTACAGAACCTCAGTCGAAGACAACAGCCATAGTCTTGGGCTGTCTCGGTGCTGCCTGCTTCATCGTTGTTGGTGTTATCATTGTGGCGATGAAGAAGGGCAACTGCAAAATCACGAACAGGTAAGAACAATGTTAATTATTTCAAATACGCGTTCTATTACAATTTTCCGTACCAACATAAGGGCCTGGAAGTCTTTGAGAATGAATTAAGGGCACATAATGAAGTTAACCCTGTATTTTAGTTTTAATTTTACGCCACAATTATATTTGTGGCGTCATTCTTTTGTTTTAGTGCTCTATTATTTATAGGGAATGGAGAGTAGAAGAAGAAGTGTTCATTCACTTGAAGCCCATGATACACTGTTTGTGCTCAATATCTTGGGCTGAAACAATAAATACAGGAATGATGCCATCCAACCCAGAAGATGTGCCAAACTTCTACCGTTCAAGACTTCCTTCTCTGTTATGGATGAATCCAAGATGTTATCAAACAGTATCATCATTTTGGGTGTTAAACGTATTAAATGAATCGTTCACAGTGCCATTACAAATTATCAAAATGATTAAGCCAATGATCTGAAGATATAAATGGTGGCTTTTTAACGTCAAATTTGACATTCTTCAAAGTCCTCTAGAATAACTTCGCATTGTTTATATTGGGTGATAGGTTATAGCTCATGTGTCCCATATGTGATGTCTCTTTTTGTCACGAATGATAGTATTATACTTATTCCCAGCGTTAACAAAGTTCTGACGTGACACATTTTCCCTTAATCGCCGAAATGGCTTCAGCAATCTATCTCTTTCCATGCCATAATAAACAGTCAGAGTCAACACATGGTTGAGAATTAACAGCACGTCTGACTTCTGTTCATGTTCTTGGCTGATTTAAGTATAGCAGAAGTAGCAGAAGTAAATAGGATGACAGCAGTGTAGTTATTGCCGTGCATGTATTACACGCTGTGTACATGTTATGCAGTTATGGACAACAGCGTGAGTCACTTAATGAGGGGCCGCTACTCACCGATTATTATTTTTGAATATGTTTTCGCAATAACTTTGAAACTTCTACAATGGTATGTAGGAAATGTATCATGACATGTTTCACATAGTCACTCAAAATCTAATTTAAGTAGGGAAATATCCGCGTAATTCCTCGAATGTACTGTAGTTGCTTGGGTCCATTATTTTGGACGAATTGTGATTAAATCAGACATTACTCTCTATTGAAAGGCCAACTGGGAAGTATAACGGTCACCAACTTAATACATCAATTGTACGAGGTTTGACCGGTACTTTCAGTGTTTCAGGAATTCGGCAGGGACTTCTGTTGTTCTCACAAGGAGATTTCATCACAACCGTTTCCGAAATAAACTGGTCTTGAATGAATTTATGGGAATTTGAATTTCTTTACTTTTGAAATATATTATTCACGCTGTTTATCTTCTTTCAGACCATCAAGACCATCCACTGCTGGATCGTTCTACAAGATGTCCCATCATCGTGTGTCGGTAGCTTCCCTCCCGCCGCCCTGCTCTAAGAGACCCTCCACTCAACTGAATGAACTGAAATTTATTACCACTCCGGCCGCGCTCTTTGACATTAACGGTACAAGTTCCACTCCGCCACCCACAGCTCCGCCACCCTACAGTACAAATATGACCCCTACATCGAAGCTCAGTTTAATCGAAGTAAAGGAAGTCCCAGCAGAGAAAGCGCCAATAGATCCTTCCGTCAACAATTGAAATGCAACCTATGATGAATCGAACCTACGGTCAATAGATTCTTCCGTCGACAATTGAAACGCCATTCCAATAAACATTCTAACACAGCTATGAACCTATTATGTATGTTGCTAGGTTCTAAAATGTTATAAGCTGCATTTAGTAATCAGGCACATGTGCGCCTTTGTCGTTCGATAATGACAAAATACCTCTTTAGACCACGAGGAAAATGTTATTGAAACATGAAAGTTTACATATTTATAAAGATTATCAGGTTTATGTATCAGGAGTGTGTGCTCCTCTTTTGGTTCAGTCATTGATAGTCTAATACAATTCATATATATATATATATTGTTACGTTCTGAGAGTATGTAGGAATAAGCTGATAAGCCTCACATTCTGTATTTTGAGTATATCTTCTCTTGTGTTCAACTGTATTTGTAAAACATGTTCTTTAGAGGTCAGGATGTTTCGTTTTTCGTTCTGTTCTGATAACCTATGTTAAATTGACCGTTCCGTCAATGTCCTCCAATTGCATGATTTCACTCATTTGACACGTACATGTCAGTGAAAAAAGGACATGTTTAAATATACACATGCAAATAATGGTTGTCACCCCCTTCAATTTTTTTAATTGGAGAGGGGTTTGGGGTGGGGAGGGGGGTGACAACCATTATTGGCATGAGTATATATGTGTACAGACACCACAGTTGTGATGGTCTTCCAAGACAAAACGACCTTATCCAGGATAAAAGTCTCAAGGAACTGTGCTGCATGTAAAGAAGACGTGTGCGATATAAGCATCATATCTGAAAGCGCACATAAAATCTCCAAATCATAATCAGACGGTCATCCGACACAAATAGTACAAATCCAGAATAAAAGTCACAAGGGGCTGTGCTGCATGTGAAGACATTTTATACACGTTAGATACTGCTAACATTTGACTATTCCTCACGCACAATTTTCAAAAGTTGTCTGTATGTCATGTTCTGTGAGTGGTTTCTGTCAGTCTGTCCTATGTTAAGCCTTTCCGAAATATTGCAGTGACTTTCAGAAATAAAGTATGGAAGCCTGTCTTGACGTATACATTCAAGCAGTTGGTTGACTGCTTTTGGGAATAGAATATCAAAATGTACCCTAACCTGTCAAAATGGCAATGGCAACTAGAAAATGAATGAAACTGAAAGACCTAAATATAAAATCAAAGGTAAGATGCCATGTCATGGATGTTCATTATTTCCTGAAACCTTTATCTTTGCATACAAGATGTGTAATCATGGGAATGGGAATTTTACACAAGACGTAGTCATACTAAGGCCACCAATTGTCTTCCTCACCAATTGTCTCCTGTGCAACTATTGCTTGGAATTGGCAAAACAATCAAAACAATGGACATTAGCCATTCACAATATGATATCTTTCAAAACGGTCAAACAGACGGTTTCTTCCACTGGGCTACCGAATTGAACTAGATATTAATCTTTTCATATTGGATCAAAGCATATGAGATTCAGAATGGCAAGACGCACTTCCCACCGGGCTGTGTGGCAAAATAAAACAGACCTGTGCTGTGTACTTCCTAAGGAAACTTAACAATCAGAGAACTGTCAGCTTTGATAGGACAGTTGAGTGCTAGTTCATCGAGGGTTAAGTTCGGACCAGTGTATTACAAACATTTAGAAATCACATAAAAAAATACCTGAAGTTACAATAGAGAAACTAAGGTGCTGTAGCAAAGTTAGACACTGATTGTGTGGATGATTTACAATGGATATTGTTTGCCTATGGCCTCAAGTCTTAGAACAACCTCAACCTCAGCTTGTAAAATCAGACGCTTTTAAACTCAGCTTTGGGAGGAGTAGTGAATGGGGTCAGTACTTCAACACATTGGTTCTTTGAGGAAAAAGCAGCGCAGATCAACTACCTCTGTGTAACAAAATTACCAGACAGATCTGGGAATGGTGCATTGACAAGCAGATATGGCCCTTTGCCTGTTGTACGTAATGTTTGACGACGCAATCAGCAGTATAACAGCTGTAAGACACAGTCTGCAAACAATCGAGTCAGAAGTCAAAATAGGGATATGCATAGGATATCATGACCGTCACAGGCCTTCCATAGGCTTTGAGTATTGTAAGCTTGATCGAACAACTTCTGAGTCATAAGAGTATGCTATATTGTACCTTAAAAAAATGTGAAAGGCTGGAGCTGTTTGAATAGTGCTCAAAGATGACTATTGGAAAGTCATCCCTTTTGCCATACAGCTTTCTGAGAGTGTTTACTCTGAATCTTTATGCCTAGATCTAAATATGAAACAGTTGAGGCTGTCTCACTTGTCTCCTTAATTTCAAGCTAAGGTTAGTAAATCAGTGGAAGTTAAACTTCTTGGCCAAATTACCTTGTTTTGATTTTGCCAACCCGTGCAGAAAACAGATCCACAAGGAGTGTAGCACAATGTCTACCACTGAATTGTACAAAGATTTTACTAATGGGGAAGGCCAGCATTTCAAATGGCATTTCCTGTAGCTTGTTACAAATTGTCCTCAACCTTTTAAAATAGATGTGTAGGTAATCTTTGTTCGCAACGCTTTTTACAAATGCACCATGCATCAGGGATGAAGTGTTTCCTTAAGTTTGTCAAGTGGGATAGTGGTGTACAACGTTGAAAAATCACTTGTTTTGATATAACTGAACTCGGTCTGTTTCTGAGATTGTAAAACTTCAAGCAAATCCTTTGCGTTGTTGAGAATCCACGTGCTGGCACGCATACCAAAGCTCTTTCATCAAACAATTTATCTTATGATATCTACATATAAGGGCTATGTTACTTGAGGCATTGTAAGTGGAAACAACTACAGACCTTCCATGGAGGGCAGGCAGACTTTGGATGGGTTTATTCCAATTTTGTTTCTCTTTTTTGACCAATGACTACGCATCTTTGACTTATAACACCCGGAGATACGTTGACATATTTGAGATGAAATGAAATGGGGTTAAACGTTGTACTTAAGAATATTTCGCTCATATGACGACGTGCATGCGTGTGTGTGGCTGCTTGTACTAGCCCAGACCTAAGCTGGTTTTATAGTGCTAGTGCATGAATATCCCACTCAGACACATTATACTGACTCCGAGCCGAATTCAATGTCTCTATAACCGTTCTACGCCAATGTAAATCTCAGAATATTGAAGATCAGAATATTTACATTAATATATGATAATAATGAAATACAGAGTTATCCTCAAAGCGTATGCTCACAACCGCTCATTATTTTGGTTACTCATATCCAAACTGGTGATGATGAGGGCCGGGTAGGCGAAAAAAGGAAACTTTAAAGGAAAAAAGTGCAGTTTGCCATCTTCTTTTCAAGTTGGTGACAGAAAATAATAATAACAATTGGGATATTTTTAAAGCGCCAGTGTCCACCCACGAATGCATGCTTATGGCACTGAGAATCTATGTACAAGGAAAATGAAGAGTCACTGGAAGGCTTTAGTGAAGAAAGGGGCCTTCAGATTTTTCGTGAAAGAATCAGTTGTTTCACAAAGTTATATTTGGAGAGTTCCATAGGAGTGGAACAACGTTGTGAAAACTTTTCTTTCCGTAGGAAAAGAGGCGAGCCGGGGGAACTACCAGTATATGTTGATCTTGAGAACGAAGAATCCTGGATGGAACATGCTGGGTTAACAGGGATGATAGATATGAAGGAGCAGGATTGTTGAGGCACTTATATACGATGTACACAACTTTAAAGTCTATCCGGTATTGAACAGGAAGCCCATGTAGGGAGTGTAAGATAGGAGATATATGGACATATTTAGAAATAATTCTGGCTGTGGTATTCTGAACTTTCTGGAGCCTTTTTATAGGTTCTTTACAGAGTCTGGTGAGAAGGCTATTGCAATAGTCTGGACGGGAAACTACTAGACATCTAACTAGGATGTGCACTCTGCTTGGTGATGTACTTCCTGATTGTGCCAATGGTACGAAGATGTTGAAAGCAGATCTTACACAGATGTTCAACTTGTGAGGATATGGATAGGTCAGAATGCAGCTGCACTCCTAGATCCTAGATCCTTGACTCGTCTTGAGGGAGAGATACAGGCAGAGGCAATCTTCACTTCATCCATATTCACCTTGTCGGTGTGTTGCTGTCTTCCCACTAACAATACCTCAGTTTTCTCGCCATTTAGTTTTTGTTTCTTTTCAGTCATCCACGATTATATTTACAGACGTGTATGTTTTCAATCTGCTGAGAGGTACTTAGTAAAGAGCCTATATTGAATTTATTCATCAATTCCACATCACCAGCATATGAGAAGAGAGGAGTGTCAAACTTGTCGGTGACGTCTTTGAGATGATTGACATAGATAAGAAACAAAACTGGACCCAGTACTGAAACTTACGGCACACCACAAGAGAGCACTGTTATCTCAGAATAACTTTCCAGAGACACACACACATTGTCTTCTGTTGTAGAGTCAAGATGTGAACCAGGCGAGCACGGTTCCGGCAATACCTAAGAGAGTCAACAGTGCCATATCTCCAGAATCTACAACACACTATAGGGCATTCACAACGCTCAAGAGCAACGTCTCTGTTGAGTCATGAGGATGATAAGCAAACTGATAGTCATCCAGGATGTCATGCACATTCAAGTATTCCATCAGTCTTTTTGTAACAGATCAGACGTTGCTATGTCACTTCTACATTTCACCTTGTCAATTCCTCTGATATTCCGACTTTCCATTGTGACAACTGAATTCTTTGGTCTCTGCATGTTAAGCGATATCAGTATTAGGAAGTGATCAGAACCAGTTATGTTGTTGACAAGAGAAGTATTGTTTTGAGCAGTCACAATCCAGTCTAGGATATGACCAGATTTATGAGTAGACTGACGTGACATGTTGTTTCAGCGAGTGATAATTTAACAATGACACTATTTTCTTCACATCAGACTTTGCTATGTCGTCAAAGTGAAAATTAAAGTGTCCAAAAAACATGCACTGTTTTCTTGGATATGATGCGAACTATTTTGACAAATCATCTAAAAAGTCAGTGTGTGAGAGGATTATTCCTGGATGATGGCGGCAGACCGTATAGACACTCAATTCTGATGAACCAACTACTGTACCCTGACCATAAAAGGAGGGTTTCCTTATTGTGAGAATGCTTATTTCTCAGATTTAGACAGTTTATATATCAATAATATAAGGAAACTATATGAAATCCTGACAGAATGCATGTATTGAATCTTAATTAAGTAAGATATGCTACAAACTTTTAATAGAGACTCTTTAAATGTCACATTGTATCACAGTACAACAACAAAGTCATTTCTTCAAAACTGCCACTTTGTTCTTTTTTTTTGGAGAGATTTATCGCTTTTTGACGGTTTCTTTGCAACGGGTCATAGGCTGTCGTCAAGTGGTAGCACACACTGGTTGCAGGTCCACAGGACTGTTGTGAACCTGTCCTGAAGGTCATTTGTAGGGACCATCAACTATAAAAGAGTTTAAATTCAAGTCAGGTGAGGTATTATTTCAATCTCATACTTTCAAATACTGTAAAAAGTATACTTTACAAACAATTGTTTTCTTTATACCTTTGTTTTTTCATTTTACTGTTGTTTTTTACTATTACTGTTCTGCATGTACATTTATGTGTGGGTGTGTGTGTGTGTGTGTGTGTGTGTTATATTTCACAGTACATTTGCCTGTGAAAAGTTCTTTTATATCTTAATTATTTAAGTACCAATGTGTGCTCTGTGATGATGTAAAACAAATTCCCATTGAGGGTAATGAAGCTTTTCTTTCTCTGTCATGAATACCCTAAACTATCAGAAACGTGTTAACATAACTTATAAACTAATTTGTTAGTGTACATTTATTGTTCAAAGTAGCAATGACCTTAAACTGTCCAAAAACCTCTAGGTACTTGTGTTTCAGAATATGCAAGTTCAACAAATTACTCCCTTCATCTTCTTAATTTAATTTAATTAGGGAGAACAGGTCTTGAAATGTTTGTATGCAAACAAATAATGAAGATTGAATCATGAATCTTATTTGTTGAC